TCCTCCGTTCTCCTCTCGGGATTTTGGGCATGCACGCACACGCGCCCGGCGTGAGTTTTAAGCCACCGGGTCCGGGACGCGAACCGCGGTCGACTACATGGGAGTCCAGAGACATAGCCATTATGCCAACTGCTGGTCCCTACTTTGCCTTCTTTTACCATATTTATTTATTTGAGAGGATTTTTGCTATAGGCCTCCAGTGCTTACCAGAGAGACAGAGAGACAAAGAGAAAAAAAGTGAGAAATCACCCCCCTCCCCCTGGGGGCCATGGCCACGCCACAATCCCTTCTCCTCCATTCTCTTCTCAGGGTTTTGGGCTTGCATGCTCCTGTGCCCGGTGTGTTTCAAGCTGCTGGGTCTGGAGCTCTAACCACGGTCGACCACATGGGAGCTCAGTGCCTTAGCCACTACACCACCTGCAGGCCCTTTGTGCTGTCTTTTTGCAGGGTAAACATTTATTGAACACTTATTCTTTGCCAGGCCTTGAGCTGAGCACTTAGTATATTTGATTTCTCACCACAGCGCTGAGAGCACAGAACTTGAGAGCAGTTACATGAATCACCTAAAGTCCTGCAGCCAGTAAGTGCAGAGCCAGGATTGAAAGTCGTGATTTTTGGGAACCATATGTCTCTCTCTGTCTGTCTGGCGAGCGCACGCGCCCTACAATGAAAATCTCTCAAAAAAAAAAAAAAGAAAGTCGTGATTTTGAACTTCAGAACCTGAAGGTGAGCCATTATTTCATATATCCTTCCAGGATCAAGCCTGGGAGGGAGAAGATCTTCAGACTGCTTCAAGATAACAACTGGAGGGGCCAGCAGGTGGCATGGTGGTTAAGGCCCTGGACTCCCACATGGCTGACTGTAGTTCGAGTCCCAGACTTAGACAGACCCAGTGGCTTGAAACTCACGCTGGGCACATGTGCATGCATGTGTGCCCCAAATCCTAGGAGGAGAATGGAGGAGAAGAGATTGCACTGTGGCCATTGCCCCTGGGGAGGGGGGGAGTCATTTCTCACTTTCCCTCTCACTGTCTCTGTCTCTCTCACAAATGCACATGCTCTATGGCAAAATCTTAAAAAATAAATCGGTGGAAAATAAAGAAACAAAACATTTAAGGGACACAAAAATGGAAGATTATCTGTTGATGATAATGTGTATGAAAGTAATATCATTGACCGGACTAATATATAGTGTATTCATGCTGGGAAAAAATAAAGGAATAAATAAAAATAACAACTGGAAGGCTGGGGGTTGTATTGCAAGCTTAATGGAGAGAAGACCTCCAGCTGACGTGCCCAGAGCAATGGTTTCCCATGTGGACGTGCAGGTCTGGCTGTTGTAAACCTCTGCTTGAGATGTGTGATGGCGATTCCCAGAAACTGTAACAATTGGTTGTTTTTCCATTTCCCTTCTCCTCTAGGGTCTCCTGTCTTTAGTTCAGCCTGCAGCGCCACCATGTGGCTCTCAAGGAGCATGACGCCTCCCATTCTCCTGCTCAAATAGGTATTATGAACAGTAATAAAACCGTAGAAAGGGGAAGCTGACCAGAATTCTGGAAGCTAGATTTCTTAAGTCTTATGTTATATTTGAGAAAGAGCAGAACGGTGACTTGTTGCGTGGTGGTGCGAGCCAATCTAAAGACAACAGGATTCTAAATATGTTTGAAAGTATCAGCTTCTGAAATCAAGCGAGATGGCTATTCCACCTTATAATATTTTCAATGTCCTACACCCTTTAAAGAAGGTATGGTTGTGATCAGGAGCTGGCATAATGGCTGCGTCACTGGACTCCCACATGAGCCACTGTGGTTTGAGTCCCAGATCTGGCAGCTTGAGACTCATGCCAGAAATGTGGGTGCATGCCCAAAATCCCGAGAGGAGAATGGAGGAGAAGGGATTGTGGCGTGGCCATCCCCCTGGGGGGGGTGATTTCTCGCTTTCTGTCTCTCTCTCCTGCGAGTGCATGCATCCTATAGCAAAAATCTCTCTCTAAAATTAAAAGTATGGCACCTCTTTCATTTATCAGTGTGTACAAACTTGAAATATTTACTTTTAAATATTATCCTGGATACAAAATCTTAAAAACATGATCCTCATACTCAGAACCGTGAACACGATAGTGACTTGAAAGCACTTATCTCACGAAGTGAGATTGTCTCAGAGACACTGCGGGAAGAGGAGAGAACATGGGGGCCTGCTTGCTGGGAGCCTGGGCTCTGGGCTGGGGGCCGGGGGGCCGGGGGCTGCCTTTGAGGCCGAGGCAGACTGTCCTCTCAGAGCCCCACAGCAGAGTCCTGCGTCCACTCTGCGCGTTCTGACCATCTATCGCCAGGGACCACGTGCGGTGAAATACAAAGCCGAATTAAAAACAGGATGATTGCCCCGAGTTAGCCATCTGGTAGGCTCCCCGTCGGCAACAGCCGGGATTGGAATCCGGGCTGCCCAAATTCTTCAGAGTTGAATTCTGACAATCCAAATGACCTGCGTTCTCGATAACGCCTAACTGCCGTGCCTGCCAAGGTGGCTTGGTTACTCCACGACAGCGCCCGCTCCTCCACGCTCCGTGGGTACCGAGTCTGTGTTTTGTGTCTGGTCTAACACAGGAAAGCGAAGATGTGTGTCTTCCTAGAAATAAATTCACCCTTGTCTTTCCCTGCAGAGGAGATTCAAATGTCATGTGTGTGTGAGTGTGGACATGCATGTGAGCATGTGTAGACATACGTATACATCTCAAGCAAAATAGCCCAGGATTGACAGGCATGGTTACCCGAAGCCCATCCCACTGAGTGGAGCCGATACAGCTCTGCTCAGGGCACTGCAAGCCGGAATGCGGGGAGGGGGCCTGTATGGTCTTATTACGAATTAAAATAGGGGACCAGCAGGTGGCATAATGGTTACATTGCTGGACTCCCACATAGTCTACCGTGATTTGAGTCCTAGACTCAGTGGCTTGAAACTCTTGCCAGGGGCGTGTGCGTGCGTGCCCAAGATCCAGAGAGGAGGATGGAGGAGAAGGGATTGTGGCGTGGCCATCCCTCCAGGGGGGATTTCTGGCTTTTTGTCTCTCTCTGTGTTTTAGGTGAGTACATGTACCCTATAGCAAAAATTTCTCTAAAACACAAAAATTAAAATAGGGGCCAGGTGGTGGTGGTGCCGTGGTAACTCAGCTAGACTCACGTGGGGAAGGTTCTGGGTTCACATCCCGGGACACCCCCACCCCCAGCTTGCTGGGCCTATGTGCATGCCCGCGATCTGGACTGCCCAAGACTGGGGTTGGGCTGCAGCGCGACAGCCCTGTGGGGGTGCCTGTCTCTGCCTCCATCTCTATCGCTCTCGTGGAAGAAAGAAATAAATAAACTTTTGTATAACATGCCCAAGGGTAGGTGTACTTGCCAGAGAGAGACAGAGAGGGAAAGTGGGGAAGCACCACCTGGGGGTGGTCATGCTGCAATCCCTTCTCCTCTAACTCTCCCTCCTGTTGGGAGTTTGGGCGTGCACATGCGCGCGCACACACACACACACACACACACACACACACCACATGGGGTGAGTTTCTTAAGCCAGTGGATCTGGGCCTCAGACTGCACAGTCAGCCACATGGGATCCAGTCGCCTTAACCGCCATGCCACTGGCTAACCCAATACACTTTAAAACATTAAAATAAAAATTATTAACACTTAGAATTCAAAATAGACCTTCCCAAAGAGGTACTGCACTTTCTTTCTTTTCTTTCTTTCTTTCTTTCTTTTTTTTTTTTTTAAAAGAAATTTGATCATTTTTTATCTTACCGGAGCCAGGGGACTGCTGAGGGTCTTGAGTGGACAGGGAGCTTTCGTCCAGGTCATCTGACGCTGGCTCTCCATCAGGAACTAGAAAAGGGGAAAAACAAAACCCTGCGACTGTGGAGAGCAGCTTCTCCCACATGGTGCTCCGAGAAGCAGGCTGCAGGACAGATCCCGGGCTGCCTGCTCGCGGAGGTGGTGTAGGTGTCAGAGAGGAGCTCGCCGCTTGGGCGGAACCTGCCCCCCGCGGACTGCCCATCTGCTCCCTGCCTGCCTGGCCATGCCTGCTGGACCTCACGTTGTGGGCTTTGGCAGGAGGACGCACAGGGTGTTTTGTCTCTGTGTCCCGCTATCACCCTGCTGATCCCTTTTGGGTCTATCCCCCATTCGCACATCCACCTGTGTTGACTCCTCCCACCTTGCTGCACGTCCACCCGTGCCTGACTCCTCCCCGGGCTGCACGTCCACCTGTGTCTGACTTCGTGCTTTCGAGCCCGCCTCGGTCTGCATCACAACCCAGCGCTGCCCCCTGCTCGCTCCCAGGCGAGCTGAACAAAGTGCCCAATCTCTCCGGCTCGCTGTTCTCTTGTCTGTGAAGGGGCGGTTGTGATGGCACACACTTCTCCGAATTTTTGCGAGAACTAGTAAATCCGTCCATATGATGTGTTTAGGTCAATACCTGGCTGTTTACTAAGCGCAATGCCCACTACATGTTATTTTATAACAGGAAAACGCTCAGGAATGTTTCCAGAGGCTCAGTGTAGTGTAGGTGTCACCACCACACAGGCCCACGCTGACAACTGTGTCTGTCCAGGAGCAAATATCGATGGGACATGTGGCAGGAGTGATGTCTTTATGAAATTTGTGAATGCTTTTGCAATGTTTAGTTCATCGAAGAGTTTGTGGTTTTGAATGTTTTGTTTTATTTTATTTTATTTTAAAGAGCTTTTTGCATTCAGGTGTGTGAGCTTGCTGGAAAGAGAGAGAGAGTGAGAAGGAAAGTGAGAAATCACCCCCAGGGGGTGGCCATGCCAGGATCCCTTCCCCTCCTAGGCTCTTGGGCACATAAGCACACATGTCCAGAGTGATTTTCAAGCCACTGGGTCCAGCATAAGTTTAAGCCACTGGGTCTGGGACTCGAACCACGGTTGACTATATGGAAGTGCAGCGACATTACGCCAACTGCTGGTCCCTCATTAGTATATTTTTTAATTTGACCAGTGAGAGAGAAACCAAGTTGCCAGGTCTGGGACCCGAACCATGGCCAGCCACTTGCTGGCCCCTTAACGTAATTTTTATGACTCTTTTCAAGCAACACAATATATTAGAAGAGACTGAATACACAAGTTATAAGACTGGGCTTTTGATTAAGCCAGATATTAAAGAGATTTTCAAATCTCTTTGAATAAATAATGCCACATCTGGGTCAGACCCATGACCTAGTGGCTAAGGGAGTGGAATCTCACACGGTCGATCACGCAGTTTAAATCCCAGCCCTGGCGGCTTGAGGAACACACTGGGCAGGAGTGCATTAGCGCCCCGGGCCCCAACAGGGTGGAGAAATGAAATGGAGAAGGAGTGACCAGGCCCATCGGGTGCTTTCTCCCCTCCTCTCTGAGAAGCACATGTGCCCTCTGGCAATAAATAGATAAAAAGATACAAAGCCATATTTATCAATGATCTTTTTGATGTCATAACAAAATATAGAGTTCTTGTTTTGTTTTTAAGATAATATGCCGTTTCTGGGCCAGTCTGTGGCACAGTGGTTAAGGCAGCTGGATGCTACCTGGCCAACTTTGTGGTTTGAGTCCCACATGGCTTGAAAAACATAGCAGGTGCATGTGCGTGTATGCCCCAAATCCCAGGAAGGGAGTTGGGGAGCAGGGATTGTGGCATGGCCATCTCCCTAGAGCATGATATTTCATTTTTTCTCTCTTTCTCTCTCTCTTTCTTTCCAGTGAGCATATTCGTCTTCTAGCAAACACTAAAAGAATAGTAGTAATAATAAAATGAATTTTAAGGCTCGTTTCTGTTAACAGATTGTGGATTGTTATTTCAAAAGTAAGTTAATAAATACATAATTTTTAAATTTTTCACTTTAATTTCCAGTAGGCAAATATTGACAGATATAACATACAAGTAAAAGACCTTGGGGTCCTCAATTATTATTATTATTAATTATTTATTCATTCATTTATTTTAATTTGACCACAGAGAAACACAGAGAAAGTGAGAGGGAATTTTTTTTAAGAGAAAGCAAATCAACAGGTCCGGGACTTGAACCATGGTTGGCCATGTGGGAATGTCCAGAGCCTTAACCACCATGCCATTATTATTATATTTTAAGAATTATTTTATTTAGCTTTATTTATTTATTTACTTATTTAATTTGACCAGAGAGGGACAGAGCGAGAGAGAGAGAGAGAGGAAGAGAGAACGTAAGAAAGCAAGCCGCCATGTCTGGACTCAAACCGTGGTCGGCCATATGGGAGTCCAGTGCCCTTATCCACCATGTCCCCTCGGTTTTTTTTTTTTTTTTTTTTTTTGGGTGTTTTTGCACGTACACTTGCCAGAAAGACAGAGAGAGACAGAGAGATAGAAAGCGAGAAATCACCCTCCGGGGGGGAATGGCCATGCCGCAATCTCTTCTCCTCTGTTCTCCTCTTGGGGTCTTGGGCACGCATGCACATGCGCCCGGTGTGAGTTTTAAGCCACCAGGTCCGGGACACGAACCGTGGTCGACCACATGGGAGTTCAGCGATATAGCCATTACGCTAACTGCTGGTCCCTCCCCTCGATTATTTTTAAAAGTGTAGAGGGATCCTGAATTCGAAAAGTTTAAGAACTGTTGCTCAATTTTTTTAAAAAATTTAATTCCCAGGTAAGTAAGAAGAAACCAAAATTTCTCATTTGGAATACTACAAAGATGAAGTAAATAATTCTGGAGAGAGTCTGAGTTATTCCTGTCCTATCCCCTCCAAGCACGGCACTGTGGGTGGAGACACGGCTCCTTCCTCAGCGCCCTCCTATCCACAGCGCTGGTAGGATCCTCACGGGCCCTGGTCCCCTCACACAGAGAGGGCAGAGGTGAAAGGGTCAGAACTCTTATTTGTGACTAGGCTTGAAAGCACCTTCAGTTGGTAAATTCTAAAAACTAATCAGATAAACATGTCTGTCATGTCCGCCATCAGTGGAGTAGATTGTCAAAGCAAAGAGGTAGCCACCGACAGCCGACAGGGCTGTCCCTCTTTGATTACTAGTTGGAGAATTGGGCAGTGGGTGCTGGATAATCAATAGTTAAGTCACAAGTAAGAGTCAAGTCTTAGGGGCCAGCAGGTGGTGTGGTGGTTAAGGGCGCTGGACTCCCACATGGCTGACCGCGCAGTTCGAGTCCCAGACCTGGCAGCTTGCTTTGTCACTTTCTCTCTCTCTCTCTCTGGTCAAATTAAAATAAATATATCATGTTAAATAAAAGAATTCTTTAAAAAAAGAAAAGTCAAGTCTTAACCTAGCACGTATTAGAAACAGAACATTTGTGACTACGACGTTGAGTCACACAGAGCTAGAGTTGTCAGGAAGAAGGACCTGCGATTTCCCTTTCTGTAGCAATGTTTATATTCACTGAGGGCTTGCACGATGGCTGAACAGCGAACGTGCATTTTTCAGCGTTGGTGCTTCTTTTACTTAGGGTTGGCGGGAGTGTTTGGAGAGACAGCCTCATCCCCACACGCCACGGTGGAGGTGGAGGCGTGGGCGGGTGATGAATCAGAAAGGGCCAGGAAGGAGTGTGTGGAGGGAAGGCCCGGGAGCAGCGGGGCTCTGGGGCTTTGAGTCTCTGATGCAGCCTCCTCAGTGAGGAAAGCACGTGGCTGTGAGCAGGGCTGTGAATAGCAGCAACGCCCGGATGGGAGCACAGCAGGCCCCCACAGCGAGGCTGTGAGCAACCTCCCCCTCTTCCTCCTTCTTCCACCCTCCCTTCTTTCTTCCCCTCTCTGTTTCTTTTTCTGGTTTTTTTTTTTTTTTTTTTTTTTTTTTTTGTGGGGGTCTTTGCCAGAAAGACAGAGAGAGATAGAGAGAGAGAAAGTGAGAAATCACCCCCCATGGGGGATGGCCATGCCGCAATCCCTTCTCCTCCATTTTCCTCTCAGGATCTTGGGCACGCACGCACATGAACCCGGTGTGAGTTTAAGCCATCGGCCCCGGGACTTGAGCCATGATCTGCTACATGGGAGTTCAGCGACAGCCGTTACACTAACTACTGGTCCCTTCACCTCTCTGTCTCTTCCTTTTCTTCATTTTCCATTCCTTTCCTTTTCTTCTTTCCTTTCCTTTTCTTTTTTCCTTTCTTTTTTTTTTTTTTAAAGAGAGATTTCTGCTATAGGGCACATGTGCATTCATCAAAGAGTGAGAAATCTCCCCCCAAAGGGGATGGCCACGCTGCAATCCATTTTCCTCTCGGGATTTTGGGCACACACATACATGCACCTGGTGTGAGTTTCAAGTCTCTGGGCCTAGGATTCAAACTGCGGTTGGTCATGCAGGAGTCCAGTGACCTAACCATTATGCCACCTACTGGTCCCTTTCTTTTCTTTTCTATTGTTTGACAGGGTCTGACCAAGCTGTGATTCTCCCAGCCCAGCTTCCTAGCTGGCTAAGATCACAGGCGTGCACCGCTGTGCCCCAGCGGCTCTAGGTTGGACCAGGAACTGAACCCTGGAACTCCCACCTGGCGCTAACACCACGTAGCCACACCCTCCTGCTTAGGCCATGGTAGCAGGGTCAATGAAGACCTTTCGCCATCAGTTATTAAAAGAACTCCTCCTTATCCCACAGCTTCCTCTTTTACTAATGTGAGTAACTCCTTGTACTTCACGGATCTCTCTCTCTCTCTTTTGTTGCTATAGGACGCCTGCTTCCACCAGAGAGACAGAGAGATGGAAATTGAGAAATCACCCCCTAGGAAGGATGGCACGTCTCAATCCCCTCTCTTCTATTCTCCTCCTGGGATTCTGGGTACGCACACATGCCCGGTGTGATTTCCAAGTCACGGGGTCTGGGACGCAAACCAGGACGTCAGCCATGCAGGGTCCAGTCACCTAACGTCCACACCACCTGCTGGCCCCCAGGGTCTCTTCTGACACTGTCACCTAACGTCCACACCACCTGCTGGCCTTGGGGTCTCTTCTGACACTGTCACCTCACGTCCACACCACCTGCTGACCCCCAGGGTCTCTTCTGACACTGTCACCTAACGTCCACACCACCTGCTGGCCCTGGGGTCTCTTCTGACATTGAGAAATATCTTTTAAAACAAAGCAGCTCAGAATTCTACTGCTTGTGGCTCACGTGACTTCTTACAGACTGCCTCTACCTTAAAGAGTTTTAGTTTTAAAATGATTTCTGGGGCTTTGGGGAAGGAATCATAGAACACAGATTCTGAAATGGAGGAGACTCCTCTTCACAGCACTGTCTGCTCTTCGAAATGGTCTATTCAGAACACTAACAGGACGAAACTAAAACTTTTGAAGCAGTCATAATTACATAAAGCTAAAGAATAATCACTTGTGGGGGCTGGCAGGTGGCGTGGTGGTTGGGGCGCTGGACTCCCACGTGGCCGACCACCATTCAGGTCCTGGACCTGGTGGCTTGGTTTCTCACTTTCCCTCTCTGTCTCTCTCTGGTGAGTGCATGTTCTTATGGCAAAAATTACAATAATAATAGTCATAAATAAACTAATTTTTCATTAGAAAAGAGTCGTCGGTCGTAATATAACTGCCTATGTGTTTTACATGAACATAAAACATACCGACAAGCTGAGATTCCTTTCCGTGAGTATTACCTCCTTTGGGGTCAAGGACAAGGGTACCGTGTGACTCCGATTACTCCCCAAAAGGACCTCAGTAAAGTGATTTGAAGCCAAGTTATGCCAGCGGGCATCATCCGAAGGGCAGTGTGACCCAGGCTGTGTACATGTGACGCTCTGCTGGGCTTTCACACCGCGGGCTGGGGCACCGGCCACACTGCCACTCGGCAGAGTCACCTCTGTCAGGGAAGGAGCCGCACCCGGGATGCTCTGCTGACAGTAGTGTCACTCTGAAGGACTTTGCCCCCTCCATTTCATTTGGTTTGATAGTGCGAGAGTAAGGGATATTAAAGGTGACTAAAGACAACCCTTAGTTCTTACCCAAATCCTCAAACCGGAAGGGTGCCACCAGCGTGCTCCCGCGCAGGCCTGGGTGCCGGACGACGCAGTCCGCTGTGGCGTGGCTGCCATGGCTGCGCACCCTGAGTGTGCTGGTGCTGTCGTATGTCTTCCCGTCGGCCTTCCACGCATGGAGCGTCACGCCTACATGTCAATTTAAAGCGAAGTTACGAGGCTATTTTTTTTTTTTGAGAGGTTTTTGCTATAGGGCATGTACACTCACCAGAAAGAGAGACAGAGAGACAGAAAGTGAGAAATCACCCCCGCCCGGGGGGGGGGTATGGCCACATTGCAATCCCTTCTCCTCCATTCTCCTTTCGGGATCTTGGGCAAGCATGCACACACGCCTGGTGTGAGTTCAAGCTACCAGGTCCGGGACTCAAACCACAGTTGACTACATGGGAGTCCAGCAACATAGCCATTACGCCAACTGCTGGTCCTGAGGCTATAGCCTTTTAATGCTACTGGATAGGTTCGTTCTACTAGAGACCGATGGTCTTGTCTTTGTGGTTAGCATCATTGATTTCCAAACTCACTGTAACCCTTCACTACTGGGGGAAAAGATCCAAGGCTTGGGGCCAGCAGGTGGTGCAGTGGTTAGGGCGCTGGACTCCACATAGCTGACCAGGGTTTGAGTCCCCAACCTGGAGGCTTGAAACTCACGCTGGGCGAGTTTGCATGCATGGCCAAAGCTCTGAGAGGAGTATGGAGAAGGGATTGCGGCGTGGCCTTCCCCCGGGGGACGGGGGTTGACGTTTCACTTTCTCTTTCTCTCTCCCTCTGTCTCTCTCTCTACCTCTCTATCTCTCTGGTGAGCGTGTGCTCTGTATAGCAAACATCTCTCTTTAAGCAAGAAAACGTCAAGACGTGGAGTGGTTACCCAAGGACAGCTTGAACGCTGTATGAAGAGCGTTCTTGTGCTGAAGGAGAACTGGTACTGGATTGGGAATTAGAAATGAATCTTAGGTCTCTTCTCTCACGACTCCGTCAGGCCCTCGGTTTTCCCAAGTGTAGGTGGCCCCTTGTGGCTCTGAGATCATATGACTGACAGATACTGAAGATAATGTCTACTGAAACGTAAGCAAGCTACAAGCCGTTCCCAAAGACAGTTAGTTAGTTATCCTACTTCAACCGAAAGTTCAAAGTTTAGGGGCTAGCAGGTGCCATGGAGGTTAAAGTGCTGAACTCCCTACACAAATGACTGCCGTTTGAACCCCAGGCCTGGCAGCTTGAAAATCATGTAGGGTGCATGTATGTGCATGCCCCAAATCTTGCGAGAATGGAGAAGGGACTGTGGCATGGCCATTCTCCCCAAGGAGAGTGATTTCTCACTTTCTCTCTCTCTCTGTCTCTCTCTGGCAGGCTCTTGCACCCTATAGCAAAACCCCAAAACCAAAAGGAAAAAATTCAAAGTTTAGATTCTTTGATATCAGAATAATTTGTTTTTAAGTTTTTAAAGAATTATTTAATTTGATTAATTATTACTATTTTTAATTTGCTACAGGGTATGTGCACTCACCAGATACAGAAAGAGAGAGGGGGAGGGCAAGTGAGAAAGCAAGCTTCCAGGTTCAGGACTTGAACCACAGTCAGCCTTGTGGAAGGTCTAGTGCCTTAACCACCACTTATCCGCTGGCCCCAGATACCATAATTTTAATATGTCACTATGGGCACGAGGTATTATTGCACTTAGTATTATGCCATATTAGGAAAAGCGTATCTTTTCCAGTTACATATATCATATATAATCTATTATATTTTCAATTTTATGTCTATAGAAAAGCTTGTGTTTAGAAGTAATAGCTGTATCATACCCCTTCTATTAGGAAATTTTGTCAGATTTTAAGATGCCATTCAAAACATTCCAATTTAATTTGTGATTTTTTTTTTTTTTGCAGATCAAACAAGACCTAATAACTTTATTTCAAAATACACCAGCATTTGCAGCATTTCAAAATCCCATTTTCAGATTAACTTTCCCATTCAAAGAAATGCACTCAATCATATTTACACAGATGCTGGTAAAGATTTTGTTCCTATAAAGCTTGAAGATATTTCTTGGGGCTAGCAGGTGGTGTGGTGGTTAAGGGTGCTGGACGCCCACATGGCCGACTATGGTTTGAGTCCCATACCTGGTGGCTTGCTTTCTCATTTTTTCCTCGCTCTCTCTCTCACTGTGTCCCTCTCTGGTCAAATTAAAATAAATACATAAAATAAAGTTCAATAAAATACATTTTTAAAAAAGGTCTCTCAAAACCTAATTTTACTTTTAAGATTATAAAAAAAACACAGCACCAGTTTTGATGTTGTTTTAAGCATGTTGTTTTCATGGTACGCAATTGGCCTTTCAAGAATGCAGGCATAATAGTGATTGGCTACAAAGATAATTTGTCAGAAAAAGAACAGAAAAATGACTGAATGGTGTGTTCGGCCACCAGAGGGCGCCAGAACATTAAAATACCCCTCGGAAACGTAAGCAGGAGAGAAAACCGTTTCTGTACTTGCCGTAGAGCTCCAGGCCGCCGCTCAGCCGCCAGGTTATCTGCGGAGGGGGTTTGCTCCTCACAGTGGAGCATGTAAGGACAACGTCTTCTTCTCCGTTTTGCCCCCTGACCACTGAAGCTTCCAGGGTGGGCTTGGAAGGCGTTGCTAGAAAATAAAAATAAAAGTTTTCTGTGTTTCAATGAGGTGCTTTCCATATCTCCAGCCAGCCAGGCCCAGGTGACTGCCTGTGTGTTTAGGGCCATGGGGACCTGAACCCAGGGCCTTGCCCACAGCTCCAGCATGACACAGCTTCGTCCCACTGACCTGCAGCGGGGCCCACCAGTCATCCTTACACGTGCTGTAGGGCTCCATCTGGGTGAGCGCTGGGTGAGGAGCAGAGGCCTCCATTTCAGTCCCACCTCCATTACCAACTAGGTATAAGCACTTGGGTGAGCCCCCGCCCCAACTTCTTGGTATACCAGTTCTCCTGTCATGGCGGGCCGGAGCCAACTCACTGGAGTTGGTTTTCTCAGCTCTAACTTTCATGAGTCTGACTCTCCTCAGGGTAAGTTACTTCTGTTTCTAATATCAAAGGTGCATTTTCTTTTCTTCTTTCTTTCACTTTTTTAAAGACTTTTGCCACAGGGAGCATGTATTTGCCAAAATAGAGAAGGAAAATAAGGAATCACCCTCCAGGGGGGGGATGGCTACACCACAATCCTTTTTTCTCCATTCTATTAAGATTTTTGGACATGCACACACACGCACCTCACGTGTTTTTCAGGCCACCAGGTCCAGGACTTGAATCCGTGGAGTTGGTCATGTGGGATCCAGGGCCTTAACCACCATGCCACCTGCTGGCCCCCAAAGGTGCATTTGCTCTTTTAAAGAACCGTTGGTTGCTTTTCTGTGTACTTCTGTCTTAGAAACACTTTTTAGCTAGGCTTCCTCTTTCCCATTCTACATGCATGGTGGTCCAGCACTACACTACACTCTTCCAAAGTTATTGTCTGCCGTCGAGACGCTGTAAAGGCACATACAGCTCCAGGCATGTGCTTGGTATGTTACACGCTGGCAATACGAGCATGAAAACAGACGTGGCCCTTCAAGGAGCTAATAATCTACTTTAGTTAAATACGGTCCCTGAAAGGGTAATTAAAAGATCATGAGTTGGGGCCAGCAGGTGGCATGGTGGCTAAGGTGCTGAACTCCCACACAGCTGACCATGGTTCTAGTCCCAGACCTGGAGCTTGCTTTCTCACTTTCCCTCTCTGTCTCTCCCTGGACAAGTTAATAATGATAATAATAATAGTAATAATAATAGTAACTACAATAAAAAAAGGTGTCCCTCGTACACTGACAGAGGCACACACTGGGCGCTGTGAGAACCAGAGGGGCACATACCAGCTAAGCCAGATGGCGTTGGCGTGGCCAGTGAGGTGGGAAGGAGACCACCCAGAACTGAGTCGTGCTGGTGCTTGAAAGCCCCAAGGAGCCCCCTTCTCAGCGGCCTCCCGCTGGCCCTGTACCACACACAGCCCCGCACTGTCATCCTCCAGCAGAAGTCTGAGAGATCATGTGGGACCTGTGGGACTATGTCCTTGTGGACAGCACAGGAAACAGCACTTGGGCTGATCAGTTCTGTGGCAACAAGGAAAGAAGAAAGGAAAGCTAGACGCAGACTGGGCACGGGCCAGCTCCACAGCACGGAGCAGGTCCCAGCCGGCTGGAGCTGTCGCCTCCTCTCCACGCCTCCCAGTCCCGCTCTGCAGGAGGACAGGAATTGCCTGGCTGAAGGCGAGCAGATCGCCCAGCACGGCTACATCTGGACATGCCACGTCAGAGCTCGCTCTCACAGTTATGGCATGCTTATCTATGTATTCCATCTGCTCTAGGGTGCGGACACTCATCCTAGAGAGAGATGGCCATGCAGCAATCCCTTCTCCTCTCTTCTCCTCATGGGAGTTTGGGTACACAGGCACACACGCCCAGTGTGGTTTTTCAAACTGCTGGGTCCAGGACTTGAACTGTAGAGTTGGCCATGTGGAATCCAGCTGCCTTCACCACCACACCACTAGGCCACCTCATGGGGTTCTTTCTGAGTTCCCTACATGTCTTGCCTTCCTATGGACCAAGTCCTTGTGAGCAGGGGTAGTGGCTAATTCATCTTGGAGTCTCAGAACCTCGCGTGAGGTCTGGCTCATGGTCTCGGCTAATCAGGAATCAATCACCTTTCCGTGTGTTCCGCACAGAAAAATTAGGTGATGCCAAAGACAATTCCATAAACTGACAGGGCTCGCCTAGAGCCTGCCACTCATAAGGCTGTCTTCTCTTTCACATCAATAAAAGATGGCGGAGGGGCTCCACAAAATGCCGTGCCACAGATTTTTTTTTTTTTTAAATTAGAATGTTAGGTTAAAAAAAAGGAACAAAGGGGGGGGGACCAGCAGTTAGTGTAATGGCTATGTCGCTGGACTCCCAGCGTGGTTCAGGTCCCGGACCTGGTGGCTTAAACTACACGTGCCCACGATTCCGAGAGGAGAATGGAGGAGAAGGGATTGCAGTGTAGCCATCTCCCCGGGGATGATTTCTCACTTTCTGTCTCTCTGGCGAGCGCATGCACCCTATAACAAAAACCTTTCCCCCAAAAAAGAAAATAAAAAGGCATATTTTGGGTCTAGCAGGTGGTGTGATGGTTAACGTCCCAGATCCCACAGTGCCAACTCCACAGTTTGAGTCCTGGACCTGGCAACTTGAAAACAAACCAAGCACGAGTGAGTGTGTGTGTGTGTGTGTGTGTGTGTGCACATGCGCCCAAAATCCTAAGAGAAGAAGAATAGAGGAGAAGGGATTACAGCATGGTCAGCCCCCTAGGGGGTGCTTTCTCGTGTCTCCCTGTCTCTCTGGTGAGTGCGTGTGCCCTATAGCAAAACTAGAAGCAAAAACAACAATGGGAGACTGAGTTCAGAACGACGTGCTCCCGTACCGGGTTCACCTGGCGGGCACTTACCCAGCACAACGACCTTCACTTCCTCTGTCGTCACGGAGTCGCTGTAGCGTAGACACCGGTACGAGCCCTCGTCCTGCAGGGTCACGTTCGGCACGCTGACGGTGAGCTGGCCGGCCGAGTGGGCAAGGAGCTGGTACTTGGAGTTTTTGAAAGCTACATGAGAGGGAAATGTGGCTGTCATAAGGGAAGGTGTCAGATGAACACGGGTTGACAATTCGGGAGAACCGCTTTCCGTTTCCACACTGTAAAGGAACACATCTCCTGTCTTTGATGGAGCGTCCCGTCCCGCATTCCGGGGCTCCAGCCGCAGGCCTCTCTCAGTTAGTTTTGGAAATGAGGTATTTTGAAGATGGGATGTGTGAAATAAACAAATCGCTTCGTGCTAGTGGGGAACCAGGCTGGTGAAGGTTCAGGTTGCAGGAAGACTTTAGATTTTTTTTTTTTTTTAAATAAAAAATCCCCCCTACGATGTGCCTCTCTGAAATCCAATTTGTCTGAGGTCATCGTGTCCCGATGAATGTGAAGAACGGGAGACAAATGGACCAGCTGGTGCTTTTTATTTTTATTTGAAAAAGTTCAGTACTATTTGAAGTTCCCCACAGATGTCCAGACAATGGCAAAAAAGCAAGCTAAGCCCTGGAAACTTCCAACCAATAGCAAGTGTTCCTCCTGATTGTGAACTTATTGACCTGGGATTGCCACCAGAGGGCAAAGTTCCCACAGCAAATCAAAGGCTCCTAAAGTGAGTGTTGTTTGTTTTTCTTTTTACTATTACAATTTTTTTTTAGAAGTTTTTGCTATAGGGCGCATGCGCTCTCCAGACAGACAGAGAGAGACAGAGAGACAGGAAGCGAGAAATCACCCCCCAGGGGGGATGGTCACGCCGCAATCCGTTCTCCATTCTCCTCTCAGATCTTGGGCACTCACGCACACTTGCCCAGCGTGAGTTTTAAGCCACCGGGTCCGGGACGCGAACCACGTGGGAGTCCAGCGACATAGCCATTACGCTAACTGCTGGTTCCCAGATTTATTATTTATTATTTTTTTATTTTTTGAGAGGTTTTTGCTATAAGGTGCACGCGCTCACCAGAAAGACAGACAAAAAGTGTAGAATCACCTCCTCCTAGGGTGGATGGCCACACCACAATCCCTTCTCCTCTATTTTCCTCTCGGGATCTTGGGCACATACGCACACGTGCCTGGCATGAGTTTAAGCCACTGGGTCTGGGACTCGAACTGCGGTCGACTACTTGGGAGTCCAGTGATGTAGCCATTACGCCATCTACTGGTTCCCCTTTCTCAGAATTTTTAACTTGATTATTGGGACCAGCAGATGACATAATGGTTATGTTGTTGGACTCCCACATGACTCATCAGTTCGAGTCCTGGGCCCGGAGGCTTGAAACTCATGCTGGATGCGTGTGTGTGTGCCCAGTCAAAATCCCAGAGGAAAATGAATAAGAGGGGACTGTGGCATGGCCATCCACCCTGGGGGAGTTTTCTGTCTCTCTGACCTGCACACATGCCCTATGGCAAAAACCTCTCTTTAAAACAAACAAACAAACAGAAAAATGAGTATCAAGAAAGCAGGTGGTGAGGTGGTTAAGGATGCCCGCATGGCCAAAAACGGTTTGAGTCCCAGACCCGGTCACTTAAAAAATCATAACAAATAAGTAGATAAATAAATAAATCTTTTAAAAAAGAGAGAGCGACGAGTATCTCTTGCAATCTAGTATAGTTGACTCAGCTCAGGATAATATATTTGATGATGTTGTACATAGCAATATTTAATATTTCAAAGCCTATTGAAATTTTCAGAGATTCCGTTTTTGTAAAAAAAATGAAATTGGCCTTTTAGAGACTTTCCCGAGTATTTGGCAGTTAGGAATATGAAATGCGGCTATAGAAAGGGCCCATCGAAGAGGAGAGCTTACTGAAGTCCTGCCCCAGGCCAGCCAGAGGGACTCGATCGCCCCACACAGCTCCTTCCCGCCTCAGGCATCCAACTCTCCTTTAATGTGTGTGTGTGTGTGTGTGTGTGTGTGTGCGCGCGCGCGGAGAGGGCTGCTTGCCCTCCTCTCCAGAGTCATATGCAGGAATTCCAAAAGTTCATAGAAAATGGAATTTTTTAAAAAGATAATTTTGGTGCAAGCAATCACGAAACCCAGGCCTAGTGTTCCCGTACCACGCATTTCCCATCGTGAACTTCTGAAGACCCCTGCGCCTACTTGACAAGTGACCTCAGGTTGCTTAGAAGGAGACGGAGCTAGCCAGCCGGGA